TAACATCAGTACGAAAGCGTTCAAAGGAGCAATCATTTGACGCATGTTTCAAAGTGGATGACCAAACTGGCATCACTTAGGCAGATGATGTTGAAAAACTTTTCGAAACTATTGGCCATTTCTATGACCCAAATGAATGGCGGCTCTTTATAGATGGATCAACGAAGAGCCTCAAAAGTGTGTTGCTTCACATAGGTAATGTGTATCCATTAGTGCCAATTATTTATAGTACAGTTAAAGAAAATAATGAAAATATAAGCGCTATTCTAAAATTAATAAATTATGACCGACATTGTTGCATGATTTGTTCTGACCTGAAAATAGTTGCAATTTTAATGGGTTTCAAAAAAGGGTTTGCCAAACACCAATGTTTTTTGTGTCTTTGGGAAGGTCGGCGCAAAGATTTTCATTACACCGAACACAAATGGCAGCCTCGTATTGTTCATCAGTTTGGACAGGATAGCATTGAGAATATTCCGCTCGTGCCGTCATCAAAAATAATACTTCCACCGCTACACATTAAATTGGGACTTATAAGAAATTTTGTTCATGCACTCGACGTTGACGGTGCAGCTATGGTGCATTTAAAAAAAATGTTTCCCAAATTAAGCGAAGCAAAGATTGACGCCGGTAGGTTCGATTGCTAAATACTTACATATATTATTGTATTACCCTAAGTAATCTTTTATACTTTAAGGTGTTTTTAATGGACCCCAACTAAAAAATTGTTTAATTGCAAGGAATTTCCTATTGAGAAAAATAGTTGGAGGAGTTTAGATGCCATAATAGAACTAGATTTTTCCCCGATAATTTCGGCCATTTTAGTGACGAACATGGGGAACGATTCCACCAGGACCTAGAAATTATTGAAAATCGCTTTAGAGGAAAGAGCACTTGTCGCATGCTCGCTAAATATTGTTTGTCGATATGTCGAGATTCACATACTTCATACAAGCGGCAGAGTAAACGTATTCATTTTTTTTTCATAATATATTTTTATATTTCTTCTTTCTTTTATATCTTTATTTAGTATTTAGTATAGCTTCAATATTTTTTTTTATTATTTAAATTTAATTTTTTTAATTGTTCCTGCTGGTACTAATTGGGAATTTTTTAGAATTATACTAAAATATGCAAGAATAAAATTTAAGTAACTCTTTTGTTTCATTTCCAATGATTGTCTTTTTTATTTGATACACATATTGACAAACATTTATAAAAATATTTATTTAATTTTTATAAATTTGTACATCCTTGAAACTTTGAAGTCCTTTAAAAAGAAAGAAAATTAAAAACTGAGAACGCAGATTTACGATATCCAGTTTCATGTGTATGTGGACTTGATCAAGTCCAAAAAGGCTATCTAATATTTTTGAAATCTTAATTGCTGTATCGATAAAAGTATTTTTTAATGAACTTAATAATGTGCTTTTTTCTGTTTAGGCTTAACTTATAAAGAAAGAGAATGGGTCTAACAATAGAGGCATGGTACCTCCCATATGAATTAAATTTTTATACCCACCATCAAAAAAGATGGGGGGTATATTGTTTTTGTCATTCCATTTGTAACACATTGAAATATTCGTCTAAGACCCATAAAAGTATATATATTCTGGATCCTTATTAGATTCTAAGACGATCTAGCCATGTCCGTCCGTCTGTCTGTCTGTCTGTTGAAAACACGATAGAGTCCTTTAAGCATGTGTTAAAGTATATGCATGGTTTAATGAATTAAATACAAAAATTCGTATATCTGGAAAGCCATTATAGCTAGAAATCCATGTGAGAATGGGTCTAACAATAGAGGCATGGTACCTCCCATATGAATTAAATTTTTATACCCACCATCAAAAAAGATGGGGGGTATATTGTTTTTGTCATTCCGTTTGTAACACATTGAAATATTCGTCTAAGACCCATAAAAGTATATATATTCTGGATCCTTATTAGATTCTAAGACGATCTAGCCATGCCCGTCCGTCTGTCTGTCTGTTGAAAACACGATAGAGTCCAAATGTAAGTAGCTAGCGAGCTGAAATTTTGCATAGATACTTCTAGTTGATGCAGTTTGTTTGGTATTGAAAATGGGCAATATCAGTCCACGATTTCGCCTAGCCCCCATATAAGGCCCCCTTCTGAAAATTACTTTATCACTCATAACTGGCTAACAAAAGCATCAATAACAATGAAATTCGGCACAAACATGTTTTATGGAAACCTAAATCTCCTTGTAAAATTTTATAGGCATCGGTCCATAATTGACCCTACCCCCCATACAAAGTCCCCTTCAGAAAATGACTTTATCGCCCATAATTGGCTAAGAGAAGCATCAATAGCGCTGAAATTCGGCACAAACATGTTCTATGTGAACCTCAATCTCTATGTAAAATTTTATAATGATAAGCCCATAATTGACCCTACCCCCTATACAAAGTCCCCTTCAGAAAATGACCTATGCCCCTACTAAGGTCCCCATTAGAAAATGACTTTAAAGTTATTACTGGCTCAAAAATGCGACATAAACATTATTTGTATGTACAAAAATTGTTCTAAATTTTAGAAGTATCGATCCATAATTGACTTATATGGAGGTGGGCGTATAGGGGCGCCTTTAACGCTCATTACTGGGCATAAAAATAAGAGTAGATATATGCAATACAACATAAACAAATATTATGGTAACTGAAATCTTCCTACCGATATTGATGAAGATGGATCGATAAATGGCCACTTCAGTAAAATTACTTTAACTCTCATTAATAGCTTAAAATTACGACTTACGAACATAATTTATGTACGAAAGTTGATAAAAATCGGTCTATAATTGACTCTTATATAAGATCCACTCCAGAAAATCACTTTAACGCTCATGTATTGCTCAAAAGTTCTTCAAAATTATGGTAGTTTTATAGGAATTGTAATTTTTCAACTGAATTTGAATCGGTCGATAACTAATCAAACACCCATTTTCGGTTTCCTTCAGATAACTACTTTATATCTCATAAATGAATTAAAGATACAAGTTCAGCGACATTAGATACAAAAATTTTTTGTATAAACCGACAAGGATAGGTCCATAATTGATTCTTCCCTCCATATAACTACTCTTACAAAAAAACAGTTTATGGTTATAAATATTAGATCAAACCAAATTAATATTTATAATTCGGAAGAGCACGGTCCATGCTTAAGACCTTATTAAAGGCCCTGTTCCAAATATTTCCCTGATGTTCATATTAATATCGACACATGATTCAACATAGATCGATAATATCAAAGTTTATTTATAATGATGATTTGATGGTGGGTATATAAGATTCGGCATGGCCGAATATAACACTCTTACTTGTTACATCTAAAAAATGTTGTAGGAGTTGTAGGGAGCATGGCACTTCCCATATGAGTTAAATACAAGAAATCTCACATTTTGCACAGGCAACATTGAAATCTATATGAACATTTGGTAAAAATGAGTAAACTATCAATAGCGGGCGTAGCATCTCCCATATTAATAAAACACATGTTCCCTCTTTATCAATTCTGCAACAGCTTCCACTACAAACCACTTTAGTTGGGGAGGGTATATTGGGTTTGTGCTGATGTTTGTAAGGCACAATAATATTGGTCCTATACCCATCTTAAAGTATACCAATCGGCATAGAATCATTTTCTGAGTCGATTTAGCTATGTCCGTCCGTCAGTCCATGTAAACCTTGTATTCAAACTACAGGTCGTAATTTTGGAGTTAATTCAATGAAATTTGGCACATGATCTTCTATAGTACCGGAGACGAAGCCTATTGAAAATGGTTAATATCGGTCGATTATTTTACCTAGCCCCCATACAACTGAAACCGACGAATATGGCTTTCAAGTTCATAATTATGTTTAATATACTCATATCTCGACAAAAAGCTACAAAACCAAGTTCTGTACTAGCCTTGATGACTCTTATGAATTTTATAATTATAGGGTCTCATTTGGTCATAGCCCCTATAGAAAGCTCTCTTCAAAATTTGACTTAAATGTCCACAATTTTATTCAACAATAAATGGCTTAAGTATATCTGAGGCAAGGTACAATTCAACTTAAATAATTTATTATGAAAACTAAATCACATTTTAATTTTGTAACAGGTGTAGGGTATTATATGGTTGGCCTTGCCCGATGATAATTTCTTACTTGTTTTTTTGTTGGCAATAAAACTAATGTTCACTATAATTTTGAAAACAGGTTCCTACTTTATCAATTCTATAACAGGTTCCACTACATAGAACCTTAGTTTTAATGTGTTTACTATGGCATTAAAATTATAGAATTCAGTGTTAACAAAACATTTGTCTGAAATTAATTTCTGAGCCACCGTTTGGCGACTTGACAATGGGGTTTTCTCGTAAAATGTAAATATGAAAAATCGTAAAGGGTTTTTATTTATATTATTTCCAGGATAGCGAAGCACACTGGTTATAGCTAGTTTTTTAAGATTTGTTTGGTATTGAAATTGAGCAATATCGGCTCACGATTTCGCCTAGCCCCCATACAAGTGGCCCCTCGAAATACTGTTTAAAGAGCCATAAATAAGTTAATTATACAGCAGTGGTGATAAAATTTTCCATAATTTAGTTTTATGCAACCAAAAAATATATTGTAATGTATGGTGGACATAGGACCATATTTGACCCTAACTTCCATATATCAGCTTATGCTCATTATACACAAAAACACTTTATTATTGTAACAAGTGGAAATTTTTACAAAACGTGTATTAATTTTTTTGTCAGTAAGGATTTTTTTTATTTTATTAATATATTTATTATATTATTTTATTTATACATATTATTTCAAAATAATTATTAAAATAATAAAATAAATAATAAATATCAATTACGTTGCAATTATGAAACTGTTTACATTTAGAACATTAACCCTGCTAAAATTGGAAACATATGTATAAAAGGCATAAATCTCCATCAAAGAAAGCAGTACAAGGTTGATATTCAACCTAAGAACAGAAGTAAAAAAGATAAATATTTTCAATTATTACGTATAACATGCGTGTTTTGTTGCTTTTGGCCCTGTTGGGCTTCGTCGTGGCGATAACGGCCATACCTGCTTCTTTGGAGTATTCTGAACGACCAACCACTTTATTAGATGTCGCCGATGCTGGAGACTTAAATTCTAATAGTGCCGATCGTTTTGCTCGACACTGGGGAGGTGGTGGATGGGGTGGTCGCGGAGGCAGCGGCTGGGGAGGTGGAGCATGGGGAGGAGGCGGCTGGGGTGGACGAGGAGGTGGCGGCTGGGGTGGACGAGGAGGTGGTGGGTGGGGTGGACGAGGAGTTGGTGGTTGGGGTGGACGAGGAATTGGCGGCTGGGGTGGTCATGGTGGTTGGGGAGGTGGCGGCTGGGGTGGTCGTGGTAGTTGGGGAGCTGGTCGTTGGGGTTAAAACATCATTCATTTGTATTATGGTCTCTCTTCTAATATAAATATTTTACTTTTACGAATATGATAAAATAAAAATTACAAATATGTTTGATTTCCTTATTAAAGTTGTATGTATTATCAATTAAATTGTATCTCGTTCACACGAATCAATAATTCGTCATTCACGCTTTCATTCGCCATTCAACCCAGAATTATGAATTGGATTACATGATTCGCTTTACAAAATTTCAGCTACGAATTACACAAACTGTACGTAGTTAAGTTTGGATTACCTACGAATTACGAATGAATTAGTGTCATATCTATCGGATTGATCATTATTTTCATCATCTTAAGCATTTAAAAATAGTTATCGAAATTACCATTTATATGGCAGATATAAACATTTTACAGAATGAATTTAAGTTTTCAATATGATTTTCAAATTGTCACAGAACTATCATATCTAAAGAAAAGCGTTGAGGGTTTTTATTGTAAACAAGCTATGCCGGATCTTATATACCCACTATCAAATCAAATAAAACGAAAAACAAGTAATTTTCTGAAGGGGACTTTGTATGGGAGCTAGGGTCAAAAGAGGCCCAATCTCTATGAAATTTGACAAGGCCATCAAGGCTTGTATAAAACTTAGTTGTGTCGCTTTTTATCAATATACAGGTGTATATAACATAATTATAAGCTCAGAAGCCCTTTTCGGGGGTTCTGTTGTAGGGGGCTAGGTAAAATAATGGACCGATTTTAATCATTTTCAATAGGCTTCGTCCTTGGACCGAAAAAAGAGTGTGTGCCAAATTTCATCCAATTATCTTGAAAATTGCGTCAATGTAAACCTTGCTCACAAGGTTTAGATGGACAGCCAGAAAGCCAGACGGACGGACAGACGGACATAGCTTAATCGAACCAGAAAATTCTAAGCCGATTGGTATACTTTAAGGTAGGTATAGGACGAATTTTTTGTATGTTACAAACATCAGCACAAACCCAATATACCCTCCCTACTAAAGTGGTGTAGGATATAAAAACAGAAAACGTCGCTCCACAGAAGAAAATTCAAAGCACAAAAAGGCTTGATTATAGTAACAACTGGGAATTTTAACAAAACGTGTATTAATTTTTTGTCAGAAAGGATTTTTTTTATTTTATTTAATAGATGTGCATATAATTTTAAAATAAAAAAAAATAACCATATCAAATCAAGCCACCTTACACAAAACAGATTACTTCAAAATAATTAAGAAAATTATTAAAAAAAAAAAATAAAAAAGCAATTACGTTGCAATTATGAAACTGTTTACATTTAGAACTTCAACCCTGCTAAAATTGGAAACATATAAAAGGCATAACTCTCCACCAAAGTATGCAGTACAAGTTTGCTATTCAACGTAAGAACACAAGTGAAAAAGATAAATATATTCAATAATTACGTATAACATGCGTCTTTTGTTGCTTTTGGCCCTGTTGGGCTTTGTCGTGGGTATAACGGCCATACCAGTTTCTTTGGAGTATTTGGAACAACCAACCACTTTATTCGATGTCGCCGATGCTGGAGATTTCTATTCAAATAGTGCCGATCGTTTTGCTCGACATTGGGGAGGTGGCGGATGGGGTGGTCGCGGAGGTGGAGGATGGGGAGGAGGCGGCTGGGGTGGACATGGAGGTGGTGGCTGGGGTGGACGAGGAGGTGGCGGTTGGGGTGGACATGGTGGTTGGGGAGGTGGCGGCTGGGGTGGTCGTGGTGGTTGGGGAGGTGGCGGTTGGGGTGGTCATGGTGGTTGGGGCTAAAAATTCAATCATTTTTATTCCCGTATCTCTTCTAATATAAATATTTTACTTTTACTAATATGATAAAATAAAAAATATATATAATATGTCTTAATTTGTTATTAAATTTGTATGTGTTATCAATTATATTATACCCCGTTCACACGAATCAATTATTCGTCATTCACGCTTTCATTCGTCATTCAACCCCCACTTACGAATTGGATTACATGATTCATAGCCCATTTACACTAGAACAAAATCTAGTACTTATGAGATTTCGAGTTGATTTAAAAATACGAGGAAAAACAAATCAAACAAAATGAGGTATTACAAAATTTCAGCTGCGTAATTAACTTTGAATTATCTAAGAATTACGAATTATCGTAATCAAATAAACGAATAGGAAATTAATTAATTTGTCAAAATAAAGTTCGAAACGTAAACAAAATATTGAGAGAAAAAAACCAACGTGGCAAAGAACTGTCAAAACGAATTAAAAATATGTTGTGAAAACGTATTAATTCAGAGGTCGAATAACGTAATTCCACTGTTCGTGTAAACATAGTATTAGTTTACTACGGTAGAAAAAATACTGACTGAAATTGTTATATAAATATTTATACCCTACACCACTTTAGTGGGGAGGGTATATTTGGGTTTGTGCTGATGTTTGTAACGCACAATAATATTGGTCCTATACCCACCTTAAAGTATACCAATCGATTTAGAATCATTTTCTGAGTCGATTTAGCTATGTCCGTCCGTTTGTCCGTCCATGTAAACCTTGTAATCAAACTACAGGTCGCAATTTTGGAGATAATTCCATGAAATTTGGCACATGATCTTCTATGATACCGGAGACGAATCCTATTGAAAATGGGTAACATCGGTCCGTTATTTCACCTAGCCCCCATACAACAGAACCCGCGAATAGGCCTTTTAAGTTCATAATTATGTTTAATGTACTCGTATCTCGACAAAATGCTGTAAAACCAAGTTCTATACCAGCCTTAATGACCCTCGTAAATTTTATAATTATAGGGCCTCATTTGACCCTAGCACTTATTTAAATTTTGACTTAAATGTCCACAATTTTATTCAACAATAAATGGCTTAAGTATATCTGAGGCAAGTTACAATTCAACTTAAATGCTTTATTATGAAAACTAAATCACATTTTATTTTTGTAACAGGTGTAGGTCGACATCGCCCGGCTATAATTTCTAATCTAAGATATAAAAGAATAAAAAATAAATTGTTGACTTTTTTGAAAGTTTACATCTGAATTTCGTTTTAAAGCGGGTTAAAGTTTCCCAACTCTGGCACATTCTTATTGTTAATCCGCATAAGGAACCATTTGATCCTTACATTTTAAGTATAAAATTTGTTCACCAAATTTTTTCCAATCCATTGATATGTAAAATATCTACCTTGTCCTTTTCATATCTCATGGTAAAATTCTTAATGAATGCGAAATTAACCCTAAGCTCTCTTTTATTGTGTCTTATTTCGGACTTTTTGGTTGAATTTTCCATATTGGTATATTCTAAGACTTATAGTAGAATTTCACGGAGAATATTTTTGCGGAACATTTTATTCCCCTAAATCCCGATTTTAATAGAGTTTTTGCCCTTTTATAAAGAAGGACAAAAAAGGCCCATTTTTTGAGGAGTTAGAAGATAAACATATTCTACAAATATATTCTCCATAATATTTTACATTATTTTGCTGAACACATGTTATACCTAAAATGGCAGGGTCTTATGGTTTCTTATGCCGATTAACAATAAGAATGTGCCAGAGTTGGGAAACTTTAACCCTTGGTCAAATTAAATTCAGATGTAACTTTCAAAACGCCCATACACGTGGCATTTGTTTATCTCTCCTCTATCAAAATTTATTGGCCGGACCTTGTAATTTTGAAAAAAAATTGATTTTGTTGTATAGTGTAATAGTGATGAATGCAAAAAATTCAAAATTACTTTTTATCAATTATAAATGAGTAAAATATGGTAAAAAAAAATCTGAAAGAAAATTAGAAGTCCTCAAAAAAAAAGTCCTCAATCAAACTTCTCACTAAAAATAGATTTTATAAAATCGAAAATATTTAAAATTTCTCACCAAAAATTACATAAGAGCCCCAAAACGACATTAGCCGTGATCACTCAGATAATCATTAACATGAGAGATGACGTGAGATCCAAAAAACATTTGGAAACAAAACAAGATGATTAACAAAATCACTTTCCTTGTTGATATAAACATATTAATTAAAAAACATAATAATACGATTTTATCAACAGATTTTTTTATTTAATTCACACAAAAAAAAATATTATTTTTAACTAATATCTTATCCGTAATATCCGCCGTATCCTCCATAGCCACCTCCTCCATAACCACCATAACCTCCTCCATAACCGCCATATCCACCATAGCCCCCATAGCCACCATAGCCCCCATAACCACCATATCCACCATAACCATGATGACGTGCTATACGAATGTGTTCAGTATTGTCAGCACCAACATGTTCAGGCTTGTCTGCTTGTATTTGTCCATTGTTATCATTATGAGCTGAGGCTTCAACACCTAACAAAGATTTCAGATTCTTATTGTCGATGGGCGAACCGAAGCAAACGGCCAACGAACACAGGACTAAAACTGCTACAAACAGTTTCATGACGAAGATATTAAATAACTTTGTAACCGAATTACTAAACGAGGTTGTTATTACTTCTAGCTAGAATTGAGCACTATTGATTGTTTACAAAAAATTACGATGTTTTATAGGACTGAGATTTAAAGTTAAAGTTAATATGTATGTAGTATATCATGCTAAAAGTACTTAACCAAAATCTAACAAAAAATTGTTATTGTTATAATACGTGTTTATTTTAAAACAAGTGCAAATAATACAGTTCATACACCTTTCATAAAATGTATAATTTTCGGCGGTTTTGTTAATTTAATAATTTGGAAATTGTTTAAGTGTTGTCTACAATATTGTTAAGTGTGTCATCATTTATGGATGATTAATTGATGGTAAAATTAAAGCAGGATATGGAAAATAGAATATTTCAATAATTTTCCGATCATCTTCATGTTTGGGTGGAACTATTTTGTTGATTTTTAGACATATTTTTATTATAATGGCAAACTGTCCACTCGGCAGTAGTCGGTAATAGCTTTAAAGGGAAGGGAGATCTAGGTATTTAACCTAATGAACGCAAAACTATTCGACGCATCAAAAGCTGAATTCAAAATATGGATGAGAGAATCCCATAAGGCCTCTTGGAATAATGAAACGGTGGGTAGAACCACAAAGATTCTATGGGGTGACCCTGATGAGAGCAAGACGAGAAATCTCCTCAAAATGAGCAAGTCTGAGGTTAGTATGATGGTACGTATTCTGAGTGGACACACAGGATTACGTGCACATCTATACAAAATTGGACGTGCGGATTCAGACGAATGTAGAGCATGTGGAGAGGACAGTAAAACTCTGGAGCACTTTCTTTGCCACTGTCAAGCATTCGTAGAAGTTAGATCAAAGTATTTTGGAAGTGATGTTATTCCGGAAATAACATTCCTGACAAACACTGATTGGAATATTCCAGGAAACTGAGTTTATGAACATTGAAAAATAAAACATTCAGTGATTTTTTTCATGAAAAGTAGCGCACAACAGGCCCGATAGTGGCCTAGGTGTATTTCTTCGGATTTGATGTACTATACATCCTCATATCAACCTAAGCTATAATTGTCATAACTGTTTCATCGAGAGTAAAATACCGAATCAACCCAAGAAAATAGTGGAAAACAGACATGGTCGACCATATGATAGCCTACACAATCATACTTATAGGCAAATTCGTTTCAAGGGTTAGTACTATTGCATAGTATGCCAGGCACAATCGGTCAAGAACTGCCGCACTTTGAGGGCGTTAAAGTTAAACATTTTGGTCATACAGGGTTTTATTCAAATGAGTGTAATTTTTCACCTATGGTTGAAACTCCAAAGGAGTTTAGATAGTTATTTCTTCACTGTTTCCAAAAAAATATCTTTTTTAATTTTTTTTTATAAAATGGGTTTTTTTCAGAAGAAATCTTATACAATTTCCTTTAAGTGTTTTATAATAGGATGCTAGTGGGATATATATCGAATAATAATAATAATTTTTTAACTCAAGAATAAATTTGTTCCCCTTTTTTTCAAAGGGTTAAGGGTTTTATAATGGGATGCTAGTGGGATATCTATCGAAAAATAATAATAATTTTTTAACTCAAGAATAAATTTTTTCCCTTTTTTTTCAAAATGGAAGTTTTTTGCTTTAGAAAGCTTAGACATCGATTTTAAAAGTTGACACAAAATTGCCCATGTACATTTTTTTAAACAAATGTATTAAAATAACTTCAAGATTGCGACCTGTACCTTGCGCACGAGGTTTACATGAACATTGGACTCAGAAATTGATTATGAGTCGATTGGTTATAAACATCAGCATAGACGCTGATGGTAGTGTAGGGTATAAAAATGCGAACTTTTGTCATTACATAGCTAAACATAATGAAACAACAACATCAGCTTTAACGACTGAAAACAACAACATACTGCATGCATTATTTATATCTATAAAATTTTGTAAAAATTCAGGTATTTTGAAGCGAGTCATTAATGACAAATCCTAACAAAAACATCAGTAATAACGACTGAAAACAACAACATATTTCATATGTTAATGTTGTTTTGTTTTTATTTATCCGGCACAAAAATGATTTATGAATGAAATTAGGATTCGAAAATGTATATGTACATATATTTAAGATTTGATGGATATTTTGGTATTTTGAAGGGATAAACGATAAATAAATTTCCGAAAATATGGACTTTTGTATAGGATCCATGAGAATATGACACTCTTACTTGTATTCTTTTAATAATTTATAAACAATGTAAATATTTTTTTTTTCAATATTTCTGCTTTTAATATATTTATCAATTTCAAATCTTTTTCATGTGTAAAGTATAAATAAAATAAGAATATTAACATGTATTTTGCCAGTAGCTGAGGTTTTATCCCCATCCACCACCCCATCCGCCATGTCCCCAGCCACCGTGACCCCATCCACCATGTCCCCATCCTCCGCCACCCCATCCTCCTCCTCCCCATCCACCACCCCATCCACCTCCCCATCCTCCACCACCCCAGCCGCCTCCCCATCCTCCGCCCCAATGACGAGCTAGACGTACGGCTTCATTGGAATGTAAATCTCCAGCATCGGCAACATCATACAGAGTTATTTGTTGTTGCTTATACTTATTCTCCGGAAAAGGTGGTATTGCCATTGTCACCACAACAAGGCCTATTAAGGCGAGTAGTAACAAAAGACGCATGATATTTCTTTTACGTATTCTTCACAAATTACACTTGATATGTTTGGACTTAGAATAACAAACTTGTACTGTATTTTGGGAAAATTACGATAGGCTTTTTATACGCTTCCAATTTTAGCAAATTTAAAATTCTAAAAGTAAACAATATTTTGGTAATTTACACTTTTGAATGAAAACTTGTTGGGAGCTCTTTACAATTTTGTTTTAAAACGCGTACAACAACTTCAGAAGTGCATATATAATTTTTTATGACCAAAAAAATATATTGAAAAATTCCGTTGAAAGGGGGTGTGTGCACGGTTGGGCATGCGCATGTAAATTTTAAGTAAGAGATTTTATCTAAAGATGTGATCCCTATTTGGCAATTTTTGTTAAAAAAAAAGATTTCAAGTGGTTTTTAAAACAAGTTCAAGTTTATTGCTCTTAAAAAAATAAATTATATAAAAGAAGTAACACTTTTTATTATTATGGATTTTACCTGTCACTTTAATTATTTAAAATATTATGACACTTTGTTTTGATTTGTGATGAGTTATTGATTGAAATATTAATTATTTAATTATACATTTTGAATGTGATCGATACGTGTTTAGCAAGTGATCTAATTTATTCTGTTATTACTGAAAATTCCTTTAGTTTTCTAATTTCAAACATCAAGATTCGGCGCCATGCTTTCTAGTATTCAAGAAATTTATAATTTTTTCATAATCTTTATGACAATAGGTTTTCGTTTGATCTCCTTGATAATTCAGTCTCAACAAAAAATTATATTGGGTTAAAAATGCGAAATTCGCACTGATATATCAATCAATACTGTCGATGAAATTTCATCTACAATTGGATAAAAAAAGCGACCAGACATGAAGTCGTGATTAGTGCTGTAACATTCTACTACTTTTAATTACTCAATACTTTTCGTTTGGGTACTCAATACTATTCGATACTTTAAACGCTTTTAATTTAATTTAAAACTGGGAATTTATCTGCTATTTCAGTAATGTTAGTCCAGACAACTCATTTTTAATACCCTTCACCTTCGTGAGAAGAATATATATAAATTTGTCATTCCGTTTGTATTTTCCAGAATATAGTTTTCTGACCCTATAAAATATATATGTATATTCTGAATCCTTATAGATTGCGGAGTCGTTTAAGCAATGTCCGTCTGTCTGTCCGTCTGTGTGTCTGTTTAAATCAGTTTTCTGAAGACCCCAGATAACTTCGGGATCCAAATCTTCAATAATTCTGTCAGGCATGCTTTCAAGAAGTTTCCATCAGCAAAATTCGTCCATAAATAACGGAGATATAAGCAAAAATCCGAGACAACAGATTTGATTGATGGGCGTAAGAATTTGCTTTAAAGTATCCCCTCCATTGGACGGCGCTAAAAGTGGTGCCATGAGTACTACGTCAACTAATGCTCTGGAAAAGTTACTAGACATTTCACCAATTGAAACATATATAACAACCCGCTCATAACCCGTTTCTACACGGATTTCTCTAAATTGTGGGACAAAGTAAGCTTAGGGTTCTACATTGAAGACCCAGAAACAGAAAAATATCTAATCACAACAATCCGATCAATAACGGAATGCGTAAATTGAATTCAAATAAATATGGCGCCAACGTCGGTTTAACATATTTACCGACAGCTACATAATTACCTTCTGGCGATGAGATGATAAAGTTAAATCTATTGGATTGTAGGAAAATCCTAACCGAATACTAAAGTTTACATCATATAGGTACCAGACCACTCGGGAGTAGTCGAAAGAAATGAAATAGCGAATATAATAGGACGAGGACAGAATTAAAAATTGAGTGACCCTAACGAGAGCAGAACGAGAAGCCTTCTCATAATGAGCAAGTCTGAGGTTCGTATGATGGTACGTATTCTGAGTGGACACACAGGATTATGGGTACAGCTAATCAAAATTGGACGTTCGGATTCAGACGAATGTTGAGCATATAGAGAGGACAGTGGAAATCTGGAGCTCTTTCTTTACCATAGTAAGGCTTTCGCCGAAATTACATTCAAATATCTTCGGAGTGATATTATTCAGGATATAACATTTCTCCCGATTAGAAAATTTTTAAGGGATTGTTAGGCTTTCGCCGCAATTAGATCAAAATATCTTGGGAGTGATATTATTCAGGATATAACATCCCACACGATTGGAAAATTTTTAGTAATTACGTCCAGTAAACTGAGTTTCTGAACATCTGACGACCTGATTTGATGTAGTAACATCCTCCTATCAACCTAACCTATCTAATTATTATCAATAAATCACATTTTAAATATACTTATAACTGATATAGGGTATCATATGTATTGCCATGTAGTCTGAATTTAGTAACTCAAAATTAGTTATCAAAATTGCTAAATTTTTAGTGCTTTTCATAAAAATCACAATATGAAATTTCCGTCCAAAACACCTTATTTGTTGAAGTTGAATAGTTGGAGTCAATTTCAAAAGTAAACATGAAATGATAAAATTAACAATTAAAACTTTAATGAATAAAATCGAGTTAAAAATAATTAATAAAATATTTTTTTGAGAATATTCTTAAAATTTCGGTCAATGCGAGAGCAATTTCCCCTTGCCTCCCTTATGATAAGAATTAAATGCCAATAAATAATAAAACACACAATCAAATATTTTTAAAAAATACCAACACATTTATTTGTTACAAAAAATATTTACAAATGTAAAAGGCACAAGTCAGAAGTTAAACACAAGTTGTTATTTTTACTATGGTTTTATCCCCAACCACCTCCCCATCCACCCCAGCCTCCTCCCCATCTGCGACCACCCCAGCCTCCCCATCCGCCACCTCCCCATCCACCCCAGCGACCACCCCAACCGCCGCCCCATCCACCCCAGCGACCACCCCAACCACCGCCCCAGCCTCCCCATCCGCCTCCCCAATGACGGGCTTCACGAACGCCATCATTGGAATGTAAGTCTCCAGCATCAGCGACTTCTAACAAATTCGTTCCCTTTTCCGCATTCCCGGTAGAAGTTGGTAATGCCGTTATTACACCGACTACAACCAATATGATAAATAGTAAGAAATAACGCATGTTGTTTCCTCGTTACACAACCGTTTTGAAAATATTATTCTCTGAGTCCAAACGATGTATTTTTGTTTCGAATATCAAACTTTTACTGCATTCTGCGCAACAAATGTAGGCTTTTTATAGGCATCCAATTTTTACGGGGCTTTTTAATTCATAATGTAAACAAAATCTTTGTAGTTCACACCTCGGCTTACGATATAAATGAACACAATTTGGGATTTTTTGTTCTCTAAACGTGTACAGCAAATTAATACTACTTTATGTCATGTTCTTTTATGACCTTACTTTGTTAATTATGAAATGTGCCTTAGTGATTTGAAAAATTCAGTTTAAAGGGGGTGTGTGTAAAGATATTAAGGTGCATTTTTTATTTAAAATATTTCCATAAGGCTAAGAATAGGTTAACGAGAACAGGATACACGCAGAGAAAAAACATGGTTGTGGTAACCATGTTCTAAGAGCAACATATTATGGTTAACATTATGATTGTAGTCTAAACATATTATAGTTATTGTAACAATTTTAAAATATCATATTATGATTATATACCGTGGAAATATTTTATCATAATATTTTTCTATTTATCATAATATTGTTATACTTGATCATATTACGATCCAATGTGATCAAAATTTCGTTTAAATATGTATCGAAATCAAAATAAATTTTACTGAATTAGTAAAATTACAGTTTCTAAAAAAAAAGTAAAATATATATATAAATAAATATAACTTACAATACTTAACACAGTTCGCAAATTTCAATTTGCTTCACAAAAACATAACTACATTATTTTATACAAACTGAAAAACTTATACGTTTAATGTTATAAACCAAATGAGAATTATTTCAACTCATTTTATTGTCGCGTAAAAAAAAACACACACGAAAAAGTAATCTGTATGAGTAAATGTGTGTGGCAAAAGTTGTTTTGTTGTTGTATTCATTTGTTGTTGTATCAGCAGACATATAACAACATAACATATAATGGTTATTTATAACAACATAACATACAATGGTTATAAATTGTTGTAAATAACATAATATGTTTTCATTGTTATCATTATTTAGTTGTTGTAAAAATAATTATTTTTCAGTGAATCATACTCAAATTTATAATTGCCTTGAACATACAAAGGTTTACAGTAACTAAAATATTGTTAAAATCTAATTAAAATAACAATTACATGTTTTTGAAAACAATATATTGTTACAGTAAACATGGCGTAGTTATAGTAACCATGTCGAACCATGTTTTTTTTCTGCGTGTAGAAGCTTCACCATATTGATGATATATGAACACACAGGTGTATGTAGTGCATACGGAGAGGACAATGAAACTCTGGCGCATTTTGGAACATTGGACGATAATTTCTTTCATAGCTCGCTATATAAGGTTTTCCACTTGGCTTCGGTTTTGTATTATAGTGTTAACTTAGGAAAATTAAAAAAAAAATACACCCTAATGAATATGCAGGTACCTGCGAATTTTTAGTACGAGTTTTGTCACTTTCATGTGGTTCCGACTTAACTACTTTTTTATTAAACAAAAATATATATGTGATTTTTAAAAACAAGTACAAGTTCATTGATTTTTCAAAATAAATTATGAAAATAATGTAATGAATAAATAATGAAAATATTTTTCGTTTGTATTTAAACTCTGCCATTAGTCATCATAATTAATATATTTTAAGCAAAATTTAATTTTTCTATGAAAAATTAATATTTATTTATTTATTGTTTCTTATATTTGACAGAACAATATTTTTACTCTATGACAGATTTAACCTATATATCTACAATAGTTTCCGTGAAAATTAAATTTTTCTAAACATTAGTTCATAACATTTTACGCAGCACAGTGGTATAGTATCCATAATTGTTTAAAGATTCGATCAGGATAAAATTTGATATGAGCGTAGCTTAGCAGTATTCGAGTTTAAGTTTTAAAAGTGAACCCCATATATGCTTTGAGAGCGGTCTGATAAAGGCTTAAAGTAAAGCCCTTGAGCTGGACTCAACAGAGAAGCCTCAATGTTAACCCACCGAATGCGGAAATCTGTCTTTTTACAAGAAAGACAGACATTTTTACATATACTGAACCTTAAGAAAATGCCAGTGACAGACAAAGTTAAGTACTTAGGTGTAATTCTCGATCGGAAATTAAAATGGAGACACCACACAGAGGATAGGATCAAGAAGACACATCGGGGCTGGGCGATATGTAGAAGAACTATAGGCATGAAAGTATAACTTGACCAATTCTAGCTTATGCTTCTATAATCTGTTGGACTACTTTGGACAAAAAGTGTAATATCAAACTATCACAGGGAGTTCAGCGCACATGCTGCTTGGGTATAAATGGTGCCATGTGTACTACTTTAACCTAAACTCTGGAAACGTTGCTAGATATTCCACCCCTTGAAACATATTTAAGATATTAGACGGCGCTTACAGCCGAACAGCTGTTTACTTTAGGCGCCAAAAGCGGTTATAGGACACGTCATCAATGTATTCTGGACACATTGGAAGGTTATACACAATCATCGGACGTGCCTGATCGTATACCAGACACAGAATATGTCGGAAAATTTGAAACGCAGATCCAAGATAGAATATCTTGGTCAAGCGGAACATTAGAGCGAATACCAGTAGGAATCCATTGTTATACGGATGAATCAAAATTAGGGGATAAAGTGGGCCTGGGGTTCTATATTGAAGACCCAGAAACAGAAATATACCACCGTTTACCTAATCATAACACAAGCTTCCAGGCAGAAGTCCGAGCAATAACGGAATGTGTAAATTGTATTGGATTGTAAGAAAGCTTTAACTGAATACTCTCCTTGAGGTAAGGTTTACATCATATGGGTACCAGGACACTCGGGAGTAGTTGGCAACGAAAGTGCGAATGTAAAAGTTTTAAAGGGAAGGCAGCTCGAGGTAGTTAACCTGACGAACGCAAAACCATTAAAAATATGGGTGAGAGAATCACATAAGGCCTTTTGGAATAATGAAACGAACAAGACGAGAAATCTCCTCAAAATGAGCAAGTCTGAAGTTAGTGTGGACACACAGGATTACGAGCACATCTATACAAAATTGGCCGTACGGATTCGGACGAATGTAGAGTGGAGAGGACAATGAAACTCTGGAGCACTTTCTTTGCCACTGTCAGGCATTCGTCGAAGTATCTTGGAAATGATGTTATTCCGGAAATAACATTCCTGACTAACACTGATTGGAAAATTCTTAAGAATTACGTCCAGAAAACTAAGTTTCTGAACATTGAAAAATAATATACTCAGTGAACAATTTTTTTTCATGAAAAAGCGCCCACAACAGGCCCATTAGTGGCCTGGGTGTATTTCTTCGGATTTGATGTACTATACATACTCCTATCAACCTATCTTCCACGCCCACTATTTATGTTCTGCCCATTTTTATTTGAATTAGATATTCTAGTTATAAAATAACTCATAAAAAGCAATTTACATACTGTAACGGTAATACTTAAGTCATACAAATATATAATGTAAACACTTAAATATTTTATTCAACAGTAGCATGACATTTCAAAAAAATCACTTTTCACTTTTACAAGTTGAAGTAATTAATTGTCACCAAGTTGTTAAAAAATATATTTAATGCAAATTTAAAATAGAATATATTTTAATCTATAAGTGTTTCTAGTTCTAGTTAAACATATGGGAAATTTTGTGTCAAGTGACCCAACTCAAAAAGTAGAAATGGATGAAATTTGCACCAAGGTTAGTGCTAATGTTAGATAGTACAGACACAAATTTTCAGTTCTATCAGTCAAGAACTGACGCAAATACATGGGGTCAAATTTGGACATTTGGGTCATACAAGGTTTTTTGAAATACATATGTGTAACTTGTGACCTATTGGTCTTATCAAATATGTATTTGTGCTGATGTTTGTTAGACACAAATTTTCAGTTCTATCAGTCAAATACTGCCGTAATTACATGGGGTCAAATTTGGACATTTTGGTCTTACAAGTTTTTTTGAAATACTTATGTGTATTTTGCGACCTATTGGTCCTATCAAATATTTGTGCTGATGTTTGTTAGACCCAAAAATATTGGTGTCCTCAAAGTATGTATGCTCAAAAACACTTTCTGAGTCGATTAAGCTATGTCCGTCTATGTGTCCATGTAAACCATGTGACCCAGTTAAGTTCAGGTGCCCTTCAGAAAGTGAAATTTTACATAAATGTATCTACCAGATTTTGTGAATATTGGTTCACTATTCTTCTGCAGGAAGTAGGATAATTACATAACAAGCATATTTTTCTTTTAATACTTTTTTTGTATAAAAATACTTTATTAACAATCGCATTAAAACTATGTAAAAAAAAACTTAACAATAGATTAACAGTCATTTCAAAAACTTAACTAAACGCTTAAACTAATTAACCTAAATAAGTACGGTTTCTATAACGTCTTTCTTGCAAACTACTAGGAGCAACACCAGGAACATCGTGAGCTGGAGAAGCAGCACCTTGATTTAAAAGTGGACGCAATTGTTGACCTAATAGTTGACCCAACAAGTTGGCTACTTGAGCTGCTTGAGGATTTGCAGTAGCACTGCCAGACATTGGCGTGGTAACAGCTGGACTCGTAGGTGACAGACCAGATTGTTGTCCCACATTGGGGCGTTGAGCTATAGGACTAGGTCTTGAGTTGCTGTAAAGAGGACGTTGAGCGCCGTAACCATTGTAGGGGGGATAGCCGCCATAGTTTCCTGGATAAACTTGAGGTCTATAACCACCAAAGAAAGGCAGAGGATAACCACCAAAAGGTCGGTATGCAGGATAGCCGCCGAAATAATTATAACCTCCATAATAGTTGGGAGTATAACCACCATAGCCGCCATAATAGGGATCGGATTGTGCTGCTCCAGATGAAGCAGCTGGTGCAATAGGTGCATCAAAACCAAACGGTGTAAATGGTCTAGCAATAGTACTTAGACCAA